GCGGGTGCTCCCATTTTGTGGGATATTTTGCCGCCCCTTACCGGATATTTTGCCGCCCCTTACCGGTCAAGCTCACCGGGACTGAAGCGGAATGTTGGGTAACTAGGTGACCCATAAGCTGCCACTGATCTCGAAGACAGATTGTTAGTCCCCCTGTGAAACACCTGAGGGAAACCATACTCAGAGAATGGCTAACAGCAGTGATAATAATAGTAATAATGATATCAATAATAATAATAATAATATTCATAGAAGGAAAGGGTTTATAACGCCACAGCAGCCAAAACCGCTGAATTACCTCGAACTAAAGCGAGGGTCCAGATCAGCACAGGCCTGACGCACAGTTTCCTTTTCGCTTTTTTTTTCTTTTTTTTCTTTTCCCTTCCCTAATCCAAACTGCGCGCACCTGACCCATAACTTAGGGAAAAGGGGTCTGACGCGCAGTAGAAAGGACAGCGCCAGTCCGTCTACTTTTGCGCTCCTGGGCGAGCCCGACGGCTACCGCGGCCACAGGCCGGTAGTGCTCTGCCTGTGGAGCAGGGCGCCGAGCCTGCGCAGACCAATGGAGAGTCCAGCGGGGCACCCCCATCCGTTTGCTAAAGTGAGCGCCGGCTGGACCAGCCTATCAGAGCTCCTTCCGAGCACGCCTGGTGCACAGCGAGAATGAGCAAGTCGAGTGACGAGTACACCTCGAAGACCCTGCGGTACACTGATTCCCAGCTGGCAACAAATAAGTAGAGGCCTCAAGCAGCGTTGTACTCAACGAGAGTACTTGAGCAGGTATTCAGTACCAGCGGGGGGCCAGGACTCCGCTCCCTCCGACAGCGCAACCTAGGAAGTCACCGCCCAAGAGGCAAGTAGGGCGCTGTATCTCCAGGAGGAGCAAAGTGCTCATTCTTCAGTGTGCAAGTTTGGCGACACACTGCTTGGAGCGTTGGCTGGAGGAGCACGGAGCACCGCAGCGCTGCTAGGAGGAAGGAGACCAGGAGCTCCCACCTCGGCTATGGTGGATACCGGTAGGAGGAGGAGGAAGAAGAGGACTGAGGAGGAGAGTGGCGACGTACATACCTGGCTTTGGTGGGCACCATCTTCATCACCTTGTTAGGCGGCGTAGGCACTGCATCTGGAAGGCCCCAGTTGGGGATGCCCCGCACCAAGAAGGCTTCAAGGCAGGGTCAGGCATGACGGCCAGAACAGCAGTGAGTATAGCTGCCTGTGTTGTCCTTTGCACAGCAGGGCGAGGCCCTAGTAGTCAGCCATAGCCTTGGCCTTCATGAAGAGGAAGAAGGTGGCCATGGCTATGGCGGACCTCATGTTGTGCCAGCAGTAGAAGAGGGATTCGGACATTGATTCTGGTTCAGCCCTTCAACATTATTATCGTTATTAATTGTTTGAATATAAGGGGATAAGAAATGGAGGAGGAGAGTGGTTGCTGAAGAAGAAGGGAATTCTCACTGGTCTTTATAGGTGTACACTGTACATCTTCTTCTTCTTTCTTTCTTCTTTGTGTCTTCTTCTTCGTCTTCTTCTTTCCCTCTCTCCCCTCTCAAGTTCATTCATTTCTTTTTGCAATTGGACTGCATTGTACTTTCTGATCAATGTGTACTTCGAAATTGGCCAGGATCGTAACAATTGTCAGGATTTCCTTCTGGAGTTAATCGAACATGGAACAGACACAAAGACTTAATCCATTTTAATCAAGGTTGGGCCGACAGTCCACTAGAATTAGTGAAGCCTATCACTTTTGTCAGAGGTATCGCCAACTGGAAGATATCCATCAGTCAAATCATCCAGGTGAGAAGGTGAGAATCCGATGAAACAGTCCGGCACAGTGGTGATTTCGTGTGAGTTGTGTATAGCAAATGAAACAAACGCACAACATGGCCTTACACTCCCCTTGGCAGGCGGATAGATGCAGCTAGGGTCGGCACCGTACTAGCAATTCTGCCGGTGGAGATCCTCGGGAGACGGCCGCTTTCCCCAAGGGTATTGTTAATTCTAGGCGACATAATCCGTCCTTCCCCATCTCTCAAATGCATCCTCGAGAGACGGCCGAGGTCCAACCTCTTCGAAATAGTCTGTCACAGTCATACTTTCGCGTGGACTAAAACGCGCGCGACAACACAGTAACATTCATCCCATCCACCCACAAACGCTCAAACGGAGTCCTACCAACCCACCCAACGTGACCACAAACACACACGCACACGCGCACGGACAACTAGAATACACGAGTTGTTCTGTGCACAAACACACATCACAGCCAAATGACTGTCTTCAGCAGCAGCGTATGAATATGCAAAGCATGTGTGTGTGTGTGTGTGTGTGTGTGTGTGTGTGTGTGTGTGTCACTGTGTGTCTGTGTGTGTGTGTGTGTGTGTGTGTGTGAGAGAGAGAGAGAGAGAGAGAGAGAGCGCCGGCCAAAGCTTGGGATGACGAGGGCAGGGTAGATGTAAGGAAACACGCATAGTGAGGACCACCTCCTCACTGTGTGCATTGCAGACCTTTTGCATGAAAGGGATGGTGCTGCAAAGATCAAACCTGAACAGACGTGCGCCGTTTCCAACTGCTGATCAGCAGTGCGGCACGCGATTGAACTCTGATCAATCCCTCCCGCCGCAAATCCACAATGGGACTGGATGGCTCAATGCAACAACCCCGCCCCAAACGCCCGCCAACCCCATCCTCACCCTGCCACACGATTGCCACTCGATTTGGATTGGATGAGCTCTGATTGGAGGGGAGTCCAATCCTGAGGCACTGATCCAGCGCCCCCACGTGCGCAATGTGGAGTCCAATCCTCAGCGCTGTCCAAACCCATCCTCCCCCTATACTCCCTCCTCCTGCCCACCCGATTGAATCCCCGCTCCCCCCACTCCCACCCCCTCCGAATGTGCGCGGGCGATCCAATCCACTGAAGCGACCCAAAATAATAAGCCTTAATCCACGATTCTAATCCGCAATGCATGCCGTCCTGGGCATGGTCCCGATACATCCAATATGTGGGATCAGCTCCAACGCAATCATGCGGCAGCAATCCAATCACTCCTGCTGCTTCAGCGCTCGTGATGCTGCTCCTTCAACATGGGATCGTGCTGCAGCGTGCGCGATGGTGCTACTTCAATCATGGGGTGATCCCAGCTCCCCCCCTCCTCCAACGCTCCCCAAGCAAAATACCCCTCCTCCCTACCCGCCACGTTTCTTGCATTCGGTAAATAGTGGGACACATGCTGTCACCAACGCCGGCGGCAGACAACACATGTCACAATTGCCACGTCACTACAGTAGCCACAAACGCCGAGCAAGCCGTGAGCTCATGCGATACAATGTACAATGTAAAGGGGGGGGGGGGAGGAACATACAGAAAAAAGCACAGGTGGAAGGCATATCCTGCAGACTTGACTGTGCGCCAGCACAGACAGTGTGCAGAACCTGCCTCTACGCCACGTTGGTTTGGCGCCTCATTCGAAGGCACAAAAATTATAATATAGTAATAAATAAATAAACCTCGTCCTCATGCGAGTCATCTGCGTATGCAAACAGGTAGGGAATCGCTCCACTGTTGCTCCACTGTCCATCCTCACAAGCGCTTCGGACAAACAGCATCGACGTGGCTGACAACTTCATCCGGCATGTGAATACTGCGGGATTCGGACCGTCACAATTGCCTCGTCGTGACCAGGTGAGGACCCCCTACTCCCAAGGTGCGCTCTCGGTTGAGTGGCGGGTCCGGGCGTGCTGCCTCGCGGATCGTTCTGACTTCTGGGGGGACTAAGAAAGCTAGCAGATGACTCAGATGCTGCCCTAAAATGGGGGATCAAATCCACAGTTCGCCAGATGATAACAGTGAATGGAAGAGAAGAGTACTCGCTAAGGCTGCGCCAGCAAGACACCGGGCCAAGCTGTGGTTTTCGAGGTCTTGGACTAAAAAGAATAGCCTCGCAGTGGTTTCACTGGACGGAAGGCCGGTCGTGTCCAGTTCGTTATGGAATAGGGAAGTCGCACTCGTTATCTTGTCTATTGTGAGTTCTGTTGAGCGCATATAGGAGAAGTACTTGGTGGAAATGTGAAGGTCGACTGTCAAAGGAGGCTCAATGCAAATCTACCTGGTCACTCGGTAGGTCCATATTTGCTCTGAAGAGCACTATTAAGGTCGTGTGGTTTGCGATAGAACAACTAGGGGCCTGTTAAAGTTTATGAGAGTGGTCGTCCATTTCAAGTAAACACATTTAGCTCCGGATATGTGCTCTCTGATTTGCTTGTTCGCCAGGTTGGTCCGGCCTCGATCTACATCCTGATTGTTGTACCGGGTTGAATTGTGAGGTCCCCGGTCTCTCCCTCTAACAAAAATGCACAATTATAATGAGTTGCATTAAAAAAAAAAAAAAAAAAAAAAAAAAAAAGCTAGCGGGAGATCGATCTGTTCTATGCGGAAGGAAGACTACACTCAAGTGGTCGAAGGGGGAACGCACTGCCAGGGGGAAGTCGGCGGAGCACGGCGGACGGACTGCGCCTGCCGGTGCAGACAAGACCGCTACTCACAGATTATGAGCGAAGACCGCTACTCACAGATTGAGCGATGCATACAGACAAGAGGAAACACGGTGTAACCAGAGACGGGCTTCTCCAAAATAGCAGATATGAAAACTCTACCATTAACACTGCTAAAAAAATTGCATAATCTGCATACTCAGAGATTTCGTGAAAGGAAAATTGCATACTCAACCACCGAAATTTCCCCCAACGAAATCTCGAGCTGAAAAAAAAAATCCAATCACCACCGAAGGTGGTAGCAAAATGCCCCGCTTACATTTCATACCCCGTTTGCTACTTTCCGTGCCTCTTGCACCCCAACCATCAATTTTTTGCGATTTTGCCATAAAAGGCCCTGGCCCTCGAAATCACAAAGTCGCAAAATCGCAGGCATTCCTCGACTACACTTACTGTATGACCGCGCAAGTGGGCAATTTCTCAAATGGCAGGGTGCCGGGGCATTGTCTTTTCAAATTTGCTGCCCATGTGCGAGTCTGCAACACATCAAATGGCAAACCGGACGCAGCAAAAGCGGCAAATCTTACTTTTGCTACGCGTGTGTGAGCATGCCCTAAGAATATTCTCCACATCCCCCGTCCTGGTACGTCCTCCCCACAACGATACACTTACCGGTCTTCTCGACCTCAGCCCTTCCTTTTTCTTATAGTCCTTTAACCAGAAAACTGCCTTTGACATACTCACAACAACCATAAGCACGAGCCATTCACTACAAACAAATATGTCATAATCACGGAATCACAGCGGATGGCGGCTGCTGTCCGCAGACGTCAACCGCCTCCGCCTCACTCATCGAGTGTATTATTCGCTCCGTCAAATCTGCTCATCCTCAGACTTCCCTCGACCCTCAACGCCTTAACTTCCCATGAGTTCCTGCTGCTGGGAACATCCATCAAAAGCAGCGGCAGTGCTCGTCCCTCCTCACCCAACCTCAGTGTCCTCGCCCCTCCTCTATCTCATCTCCAGGTACTCTGTTCGAAAAACCGCGCATCCTCACCCAACCTCAGTGTCCTCGCCCCTCCTCTATCTCATCTCCAGGTGCTTTCTGTTCGAAAAACCGCGCATCTCCCATTTCGTCCTTCCCTACTCCACCGGCAATCAACCAGATCAGGCATTCACAATAGAAATGCCACCTCACATATTACGAAACCATCGCCACGTCCATGTTCGCTGCCATACCAGCTCTAAATCAGAAGCCTATAATTCGCCCGACAGCGACGATAGCATTGTTAGGCCACGGATTCACGTCCCATAAGTATAAACCTGGTGCTGGCCATTCTCCACCTCCAACATCCCGGCGAGGAGAGAAGCCGTCAAACTCATGGGTTCTGATAGGCCACGGATTCACGTCCCATAAGTATAAACCTGGTGCTGGCCATTCTCCACCTCCAACATCCCGGCGAGGAGAGAAGCCGTCAAACTCATGGGTTCGCTCCAAGCCATGGATTAATTTAATTGAAGCTCATTTTCGCAACATAACTGACCATTCTCGCCTCTAAACTCCCCGAGGAGGAGAGAAGCCGTCAAACTCATGGGTTGACTTCCAGGTCCCTCGAAGGTTCAGAGACAATGTAATGAAAAACCTGCACTTAGCCATTATCACATATTAGGCTCGAAATCTGCACTTAGCCGAAATTATCACATACTGGGCTCGATTCTCCTAGACAAAACCACAAACACTCATTAAGCATGCAAAATTCTATGTAAATAAACGAAGTGAACACAATAATGTAAATAAACGAAGTGACACAATCAGACAGAAAGAAAGCACTCATATGACGAACCGCTACCATAGAAATTTGTTTCGACTCAATCGTCAACCGACAAATCGTGGGTCGGCGAGAACGGAGAGTCGGAGACCAGTTTCCACTCATATCACGGTAAGTACAAACGAGCAGTAAGCGCTCAGGATTCCTCCTAACTTTCTAATCGATCAAGGCAACGAAGCCTCAATCATCATCAAGCTAAAATAAGGCATTTATATAATCGATAACCTCAATCATCGAGCTTAAAAGACAATATTCAATAAACGAAGTCACAGAAAAAGCTCAGCTGACATGCCCACCACGCCACTTCACGGGTAAGCTGGAACCACATCTCGTCATTTTCTTCCATGCCTCACGAAGCGTAGCCCAGTCAACTGAATTAAAACCTGGTTAATCTGAGTCAAAGTCATTTGCACGAAGCGTAGCTCAGTCAACTGAGTTAAAACCTGGTTAATCTGAGTCAAAGTCAAATACACGAAGCGTAGCTCGGTCAACTGAGTTAAAACCTGGTTAATCTGAGTCCAAGACCATTACAAAATAAACCGCATTCATATGACCTCACGGGATTGACACAGCAAATCAGTATAACCGGGGTATTGAACTGGTATATCTCGAACCTGCCAGTGATTAGAATGAGATAGAGAAGGGGTCGAACGAGATCAAGAGTCCTACACTGAAAGGAAAATGCCCGTGAAACTCGGCATGGCCATCAGGCTCGCCGCCAACAAGGCAACGCATAATGCGGCAGTCAATCGAACGGGGCCCGGCGACGTTACTCTCCAGCCTCTCGAATGTGAGCTCGATGGAGGACTGACAGAGGCAGCAACGGAGGCATCTCTAGACGATAACTCGGTGAAAATCAGAGACGCCCCCTCAGGAAGCGGACCGGGATTCTCAAAATTTATAGCCGACATGTTCATTACGACAGAGCCTCTGGCTTCATGACCGTGGTAAGAGAGCGCGTTCAAACCCTCGGCCTGATAAGCCCAAATGGCGAAGAACGAGGAGCCCAGGGGCACTTTCCCACCGCTCAGGCTCCTGTTGCATAGAAGAAGCGCCCTCTCAGACGACTCGGGGCCATCCACCACTCTCCCGCGCCGGTAAGCCGTCCCCTCGGTCAACAGTGTGAACGAGTTATCACTTGCCGGCAGTACTGACTGCAAGGTCCTCCCTGTAAGTGCGTAAGGCGCGACCGTGGCGGTCTTGTTCAGACCAGCGACTGCCGCCTCCGAGCCGGGCATCTCCCCGTCCGCGGACCAGCCCAAGGCGACCCACCCGGACGAGATCGTGTGGAACCCCATGTGCAACCACGTGTCAGACGGAGGGGAGAAGTACAAAAACGTGTACGGAGGGCCCAGCGGCATCATGCATCGGAACTCCGGGAGATCGGACATGAGGCAGATAGCAGGCAGACCCTCGAGACTGCCGGGACTCGGCGATGGCACAGACATTGACCAGTCCGGAGACTCCGAAGAAGGGGCAGCCGCCGACAGAGAGGCCGACACCGGCGGAGGGGCCTCCTGCGAGGCTGCTGGCATGGAAAGCTCCGCCGCCGCCGTGCTTGACGCCGCTGGCGACGTCCGGGACTGCAATGCTGGCACCGATGGCTCACTTGGAAGTGTCCTCTTTGTCTGGTCCGCCGCAGAAGATGCTAAGACCGCCGGGCCTTCAGATGGAGCAGAAGTGGTGTCCGAAGGGAACGTTGCACGCGCACGCGCTGGAGAGGTACTGCGAGTATCCACGGGCGCAGACGTCGCCTCCTCAGTGGCTTGTGCGTTCGACAGATGCCACGTCGCCATTGCCAAACAGGATATTAATAAAAGGAGCTGCTTCCATCGCCTAAGCGCCATATCTTCACCTTCTTCAACGCTCCGCTTTCACTGTCCTTCCGACTAATATCTCCTCCACTCTCACCCTGTTCAGCGAACCGTCTCACTACGACAGTGTTCGATCTGGCTGTCTACTTTATTACATATACGGCATCGTCTCGCCTTTCAAGTGCAAGATATGAAGATACCCCGCACGAGTTGCCCGCGATATGAAGGCCGCCCGCACGAGTTGACTTGTGCACAACTGAACTACGGCACGCGCACCGCCGTGAGTGCTTGCTTGTCTGTCATCTCGGTCAGTAAGGCGGGCGAGTTTTTATCCGCGCGCAGCCGTGAGTACTTGCCTGCTGACTGCGTCAACGGGGCTGGCGAGTTTTTATTCGCCCTCAGAAGGACGCAGGGGTCCTACCCGACAATGTGGACAAGCGGGAAAATCCACGCATTCAAAGAAGTTAGCGGATCTCGGAGCGTGTTCGCGTTTGCCCTTTTCAGGCCATACCCACTCACACTAGGCATTATCTAAGCGTATCTAACCGCAATTACGGCCAGATGTGGATGAATTGGACAGCAATCGCGGCAAGCGGTTAGTAATTAGGAGTAGTGGTAGGTAGGTAATGTGAGGTGAAATTGAGAGAGAAGAATGTAGCTTACTTACAACCAAAAAAACAAAAAACAAAAAAATAAAAAGTTATGTGCGTGCGCCATTAGACCGGTAAAGGAAATATAAACGCATAATCCCATTCGTTTCCGACAGTTCATCTTCCCCTGACCGCCATGAATCTACCCACACCTTTCGCAGAAGCAAGGGCGGCCACTGGTGCAAACGTTTTTGGTCTTGTTTTATTTTATTCTTCAAAAATATTATTCTCTCCCCTCACATACTTTTAACTGGCGTTCTGCCATGTCATGGAACATATATCTTTCTTTCACTACCTACCTGCCACCTCTCTTGAGGCTATACGCGGGATCCCTGCAAGAGGCATAGCTTTCTGCCTCTCTTCGGTGAAGAGAGGTTATCTCTCTCAGGGAGGTTATCTCTCTCGGTGGAGAGAGGTAACGACGTGTTTGCCCTTCTGCCAGAGCGTTTAGGGTGCAGGGTTGGGGCCGCCGGTGGGGGCCCGGCTAACACAAGGACCGAGCATTTGGCAGAAACTGTGCCTCCCTTTTCATCTTCCCCCACAGCCGTAAGATGGAGGGCGAAAAAAATAAAAAGCGATGGGCGCTGGGGCACCACTCTCGCCAAACACTAACGGTCTCGACGAATCCGGACCTGTGGTCGTCCCAATACATTCAAAACGTTACCGTTTGGCGAGGGGTGCGGCAAGCCCCATGGCCTCACAGTTGCTTTGGACCTTGGCGTGGTTCTCCGCGTCTCCCGGTGCCTGAGCAGCGCTCACGGCGCAGCTGATGGTGACAACAGCGCGAAACGTATAGGCTAATGGGCACGCCTCCTTCCATTCTGGGAAGCTGCAGTTCAGTTCCTTCTCCACCAAGAAGTCAAGCAAATCGTCGATCCAAGACTCAGGGCAGGAATGACATTTCAGTCAGATAAATTTAGGGAAGTGCTACTGTGAGTATGCCCACAGAGGCACCCCTCCCTGCTGTGGCAGGTGAGTCCATGACCGCCATGGCTGGTTACTCCTTCAGAGCCCATCGTCTCTCAGCTGCTGTGGAACTATGTCCATGGCAGTTGGTCAGCTGTGTTCTCCAGAACAAAGCATGAGGGTTGACCGGTTGCTTCTGAGCTGGTCACGTCTCAGCTGCTCTGTAACCATTGGCACGGCCTGCGGAACCAAGCTGCCCCTTTCAGATTGCTTCCTGTAGAACCAAGCGGCGACCTTCAGATTGTTTCCTGCAGAACCAAGCCGCCTCCTTCCTGCACAGGACGATCCAGATATAATAGAAAAAAGCCATACCGCTGATGATGCCACATTACTTGGATGAGAGTCAAGGAGTTGGGGCAGCAGGTCCACACACCTCCTAGACCACCCCAATCCCCCGATAGTCCCGCAAGTGACAGCGGAATCTTGCGAGGAATGGTGGAACGAGCGAATGAGTGATGGCACCTGACGTCAGAAGCGAGCGACTCTGGAGTCGTTGGGAGGTACAAAGCAGGCCTGGAATAGAGCAGTGCTTTGATTGAAGAATTTGGTCCTGGCCGACGATGGCCGAATGGAGTGAAGAATCTTCTTCTTGGACTTCATGAATGGCTTGATCAAAACAATGTTGGACGAAGCTTCATGGAGTGCAGTGACTTGGATATTCTGTCCTTCTTGAGTAGCCAATGGTTGGTTGAGATAGAGAGTCATTGCCGTACTTCATATTCAGAGGGGGGGCTTATCGGGATGCGGCGATGCTATTGTATCTACGGGAGAGTTGGCAACAATGTGGAGAAGGGTTGGGGTTACAGTTTAAGGAGATAGATATTGCTAATTGTGTGGTAAGGCGAGGAAACGTTTTTGGGGGTAATACCTGAGCTGATTGTTGTATACGAGAAAATGAGAATTGATATAAGGAAAAGGTATGTATTTAGGCTAGGAAGAGGGGAAGAACGGGTAGAGCGGGATGCGGTGCCGTTAGAGTTCCGCTCTAACCCCCCTACCCCCGTTGAGCCCGCTCTAACACCGTTCTGCCTCTTTTTCTCCCCGTATAACCCACTTTTGAAAAACATGTGACTGGTGGGGGGCTGCAGATGATGAGGATCAAGCCCCCCAACTCCGAAACGGACAAAAAAAAAAACAAAAAAAAAAAAAAAAAACACCTTTATGCCCCTACACCCCTGAACATCCCTCCCCTACAACCATCAACACCCCTCCGCTGCACCCCTCCCTAACACTCCCC